GGGGTGGGGGGCGTTTTATTCAAATTACAAAGGAGGGGTCGGGGCCCCGGGAGGCCGGGCGCGCGGCGGGCGTCGCCTCCCGCCCCGCACAGCCTCGGCCGGCGGCCGGCGTCTGGCTCGAATTAGGTGCCGCAGAGCGCGGCCGAGGGCGTGTCCACCTTGCACGGGCGACAGAGACTCCGCAGAGATGGCAGAGAGACAGCGAGAGGGAAAGAGACTCTCAGAGGGCGAGGCGAAAAAACACAGAGCAAAGGGAGAAGTCGCGATAGACACACAGTTTTCGGGAGGGACGGAAGGAGAAGACGAAGGGGGTAAGGGGTGGAGGCCGCGGGCGGGATAGGGGAGAAGCAGATTCGGGGCCCAGGATCTGCGTTCTTATCTCCGTAATATTAATTACTAGTTACTGTGGGCGTGGCAACTGTCCTTCCCGGCTGGTCCTCAGTTTACCTCCTCTGTGAACTGGGGATATAATTGTGATTCGAGTTGTGATTAGGACACAATTCCCCTTTTATAAAGAACGTTCACCTAACGCGATCGCATTTGTTCCTCCCAGCAACCCTGTGAGACAGGCACTATCACTGCCCCCATCTCACATATGAGAAAACTAAGGCCCGGAAATGTGAGATGGGGCTGTTCAGCCGGCGAGCCTCTGGTCCATGCCTCGTGTTCTACCCTTAGGTCTACCTGGTGTTCGGTGAGACCACGGACCGTGAGAAGACAAGGAAATAGGGGCTTGCTCTGGGTATCAGTTTCTCAGTCTGTCAAGGGGAGGATGAGAAATGGGATAGCAAAGATCTTTGTACAGTGAGGGCTGTTGTGGGACCTGCGTCTCTGAGTCCCTCTAGCGGTGCCCCTTTGAAGGGTAGGATGACGCCCAGGCCGGACGAGACGGGGGCAGCCTGGCCTAGCCTAAGCTGGGAGGCTGACTCGGCCGGCGCAATGCCGCCTGCGGTCGCCAGGCGGCGTCCTGGGGCTGCGGAGCAGCCCTTACCCCGCCCGCACGCAGGCCGAATAGCCGCTTTCTCCGGCTTTTTTCTTTTCCTTCTTCTTCATTTTTTCGTCTTCTTCTCACCTCATTAACTCCCTTCCCAGCTTCTCCCAAATTTACCAACACATGGCATTCACCCGGAGACAAACACAGCCCCAGGCCTTCTCCCCTGGGAAGGAGCAGACAAAGGGATTCCTTTATAAAGTGACGAGTCGGAAAAAGGAGGCGTCTGCCTTAGAGGGGACGCTTGAGCAAGAAGGGGGAGTTCTTATCTGGCTCTGTGACATTGGGCAAGCCCTCCACCACTACTAACCTCAGTTTCCTCTTCTATAAAAAGGGACTGGACCTCTCCGCGCATCTCCTGAGGTCTTCCCAGCCTACAGTAGTCCGGAGGTGTTAAGCCGCCCTCTGCCTAAATTTCCACTATTACGTCTACCTGCGTAGTGTGTGCATTTACGTGTGCACCTTAAGCATACACACACATTTGAAATCCCACTGTTTTCTGTAGCCTCTGGCATGACCCGGAGCAAGTCAGAGAGAAAACTGAATTACATTTTCTTTCTCTTCCTCAGAGTCCTCTAGCTGGGCGCCTAACACAGCAGCGCTAGCTACAAACACCGAGTGGAGGCGCGGGGCGGGGAGAGGGGCAGAGACAGAAGGCGGTTTCAGCGGGGGTCTCCGTCTGAGCCCCTCCTCCCACCCAGCCTGTGTCCAAACCTTTTGTCTTACTGGCCCTTAAAGTTTACCACGCTCCTGAGAATGAGAAAAATATTGGCTGGATATGCGGGGCAAGGGAGAGGATCAAAACCAGTCATTGCCTCTCCTCGACCCCACCCCCTCCCAAAGTGTGGGATCCCCTCCAAGCATTCCAGGGTGGGGAAGAGGAAGGGCTGCAGGCGGAAAGAGGAGAGCGCGGACTCACAGCAGGGAATCCGTTCCCAGCCCAACTCTCCCAGAGAGAGGAGGGGCCGCCTGGGTCACAGCGCACGAGGACCCTGGCCTCCAGCTACTCCCGGCTCTTTCGGAGCGGCCCCGGTGGTCGTGGGCTTCTCCCTTCGCTGCTCCAGCACGTTGCTGGGGCAGGCAGCTTTTGGCCTGGGCCTCTGGGTCCTGACGGATTATTCCTGCCCACGGTCAGAGTGTCTAGGACAGCCGCGCAGGCCGCTGGGTCACCCTCAGCCTGCGTCTCCCGGTTCAGGACGCACTCGCCTCCTGGAGCCCCCGGCCCGCCAGGGGGCGCTAGGTCGGGGTGGCCGGTGGGATCGGCAGCAGCCTCCCGTGCCCTGGGACTTTGGGCAAGTCATCTTCTTTTCCTGGGCCCCAGGGTCCCCGTCAGGGGATGGGATGAGGTGTAAAGTAAGTGCCCTCTCAGTTCTGGTCCTTCTATGAGACATGGGCTTACCATGGTCAGCCCCGAAATGCTCGACCCCTTGCTTCAGGCCCGGCTCGGAGCCTCTCTTGGGGTCAGGCGTGTAGTGGGCTCGTGTCAAAGAGCTGTGTCTGGAGAGATAAGCAGTGCCTTCCTACCCACGCTGGGGATAAGGTTCAAGCTACCTTGCTTGCAGCAGGCAAGAGAGCGAACAGTCCAGACTGCACACTGGGCACTGCGAGCGCAGTAGCCACAGCCCCACACTAGCTCTAACAGGTGGTTGTAAGGCTTGGGATCTGGAAGTCCCTAGAAACTCCGCTGCCAGGGTGGTCACCTCTCTGAGCCAAAGACGGGGGAGGGGGACATGCCGAGCTTCCCCTTCCCGGGTGAGCCCGCGGTGGGCCGGGAGCCTGCACCGTGAGCTGGGACTGAGTGTCCACGCCGCGCGGAAGGTCTGCGCGGGCCGGGCCTGAAGCCTCCGACTGCGCAGCTCAGAGCCGACCCAAAGGATCCGTGCTGGTGAGCAACTGCTTCAAGGTTACCTGTGACGCCGAGCGAGACCTGGTCTGCAGCCCGGCTTTGACCTGGGCCGCGAGTCTTTCGAGATTTGTCTGCGGGGCTGCGGAAGATGCGCCGGGTTGCCCACTAGTCGGGTTACTTGTGAAGTGGAAAGAGTGGGGTGGGGTAACTCGGGGTACCTCCCACTACTCCCACTGAGCCCGACCTGGAGTGCCGAAGAATTGGGAGGTTCATGCAAACACCTCAGATCCAGGAGGTGGGAGGTATGGGGCTCATGCGTGAGCTCAGCCAGATGTTCCGGGCTGCTCCAGATGTGCCTCGGGCCCGGCCAGGAATCTCCTACTCCCCTTCCCCCAGCCTGGAGCTCAGGTCTGTAAACAAACTCGGTTCTCCCTTTTCCCTCGCCGCTCTAGGAGAGGGTCTCAAAGCTAGGCGTCCTCCCCCACCAATCTCGACCCCCAATTTAGTAGGAGCTGCTGTAATTCTCTGCCTTTTGCAATCTTCTCCTGCCCCTCCACACACACCCTCTGCAGCAGGATTCAAGTCCCCCACCCCCGCGATGGCTCGGGCATGACCTCATTCAGGGGCCGACTGGGAGGTAGAGGGTCGAATGTGGGGGGAACAGGGCTGGGAAGTCTCATGGCGGGCGGCAGGAACTGCAGAGCACACCTCCGCCGCTGGTCCGCGTAAGGCCCCCGCCCTCAGCCCCCCGCGGCTGGGCCGGGTGAGGGGAATGCTTGGGAGAGCCGCGGAGGAGAGGTACGGAGGAAGGCTTGCTTTGCTTACTTGGGAGCGGGTGCCCAACCGGGTCGCGCCGCCGCCTCGGACTTGGGCGCCCCTCTCCCTAGCAGGTCCCCGCTGAGCGCCCGCCCGCTACCGCGGCCACTGC